GAAAACACTTGTCAGGCACGTGTTCTAATAGTTTTTGCTCACTGGAAAAATGAATGGGTTCAAGCAAAAGGTGGCATGGCCTAAGTTGTTTAAGGCATCTAAATGTAAATACCAGGAAATAAAAGCTGAAATTTTGAACACTTGTCTCATATCATCTTTTGATATTAAACCCAAATGTCTTTAGTGAACGACAAAAAACAAAGGAATTTGTCTTGTCGCTCCAATACTTTAAGAGAGGACTATATATATATATATATATATATATATATATATATATATATATATATATATACGAGGTTAAGTAAAAAATTATTCACAATTTCGCCATAACATTTTTAGATTTGTCACACCGTCTTCTGCTCATGCGTACTTATAGTTGGTACTATTGAGGTTACATGATCGAAATTTGAGCTTGATCAAGCCAGTTTTCTTGCTTTTGTTACAGTGTAAACATGGTCGCTCGGCTAGCAGTGTTCACCAAGGAAGAACAAAAAGAAGTGATCCAAATGATCTGTTAGGAATTATGTCAGAGTTTGAAATTAATCGGAGATTTTTAACACAATACGCCAACAGAGCACTACTGCGTAATAGTGTGTATCGAGAAGTTTAAAAGTGTCCCAGATAGGCGAAACGCACAAAGAAGAGGTAAGAAGATCGTCAACCTCCATGACTAAAGAGAAGATCAGCATGCTCGAGAGATCATAATGGCGACCGACGAGTTATTATCAATGAGGTCACATGTTCTCTGCAGATATGGATTACTGCCCTTTCCCCTTTCTATCACCTTGGTGCACACTGAGAGCTGACTATATATAACCGGAAAATACGTATTATTTATATAATCTTATATATATCTATATATATATATATATATATATATATATATATATATATATATATATATATATATATATAAATATATATATATATATATATATATATATATATATATATATATATATATATAACTACTATCAATTCAAGAAAGCAATTCGGATTACTAACACATTAAATGTCTCATATCGAGAATATTTAACATTGAAAAAAAAAAAAATTAATTATTTTTAATAATATGTGGAAATCTCCGCTTTTACCTGAAGACGGTCACGAGACCAGAAACACGTGTAGTACAATCATGTAAAACAAAGCATAATATTTTTTTTCTAAATAAATCCACATTACAACCCAAAAAACGTTTGCGGCACCTCTCTTTCTTCTTTTTAATATATATATATATATATATATATATATATATATATATATATATATATATATATATATATATTTCTATAGTTTACTGCTACCAGCAAGCAGAAATATTTCTTCTCCTGATGATGGCTAAATGAAATAATAATAAAAAAACGAAAGAATATTAATCTACAACACAGTGTGTCTGAAGATTTTAATTTTTTAATTTTTTATTGTTCAAAATATATATATATATATATATATATATATATATATATATATATATATATATATAATATATATACCGAGTGAAGCAGCAAAATTGTTCAAATCGAGTAACAGCGGAATTGTCCAATTGTTGCATTAAGATTTGAAACGTTGTATCTAGAAATATTTAGGATGTCTTACTGGAATTCTCCGAGGTTTTTATAATTCCATTTGTCTCTAGTGTATAATTAATTTCCGAGCTTAACAGAAAAATCGTTATAAAATGCATCATAAACGAAAATAACTTGTTCATCATTAATTAATCATACCTTAGGATCCGCAGTTCGTAAAGGTTTGAAATAAAATTCAAATATATATATATATATATATATATATTATTTCATGATCTACAAATACACTCATATATATATATATATCACATATAAACACACATGCAGGATCACATATATACAAGGCGTGTAAAAGTAGGTGTATACAGTAATGAAACACAAAATGTGCGCACAGAATCAGTTTAATTAATTTAATTATACAAACCTATCAATAATAAACATATCAATCCCTAAGATGTTTAAAATTTGTGCTTGTGTCATTCACATGTCCCTCTAATTTTTTTTATTATCATTTATTAGAAAATAAAAATTGTAATAAACGTATTTTAATAAAAATGATAAAAATAAAAAAAATGATCCGTCGAGTTTGGTTTGGGTTTGGGTTTGATTTTGAGATTGGATTTGGGTTTGGATTGGTTTTGGGTTTGGTTTGGGTTTGGGTTTGGCTATTGGTATGGGGCTGTGTTAGGGTTTGGATTTGGGCCTGAGTTGAGGTTTGGGATTGGGTTTGGGTTCGGTTTGGGGCTTGGAATTGGATTTGGCTTTAGTTTGGGGATTGGGTTTGCATTTGGCTATTGGTATGGGGCTGAGTTGGGGTTTGGATTTGGGCTTGAGTTTAGGTTTGGGATTGGGTTTGGATTTTCCGCTTGTTGAGACCGCTGTTTCCGAATGAGAAATAAACTGGTGTTATATAATTATCCCAGTCCCAGACTCACGTTGACTATAGACTAATACCTACCCAGTATCATTCATATGCAAATAGCGCCACCTACTGTAAATGGAATGTCTTCTCTCAAAAGCCCATGACGGAAGAGGACGTAACTCCTGGTGATTACAGTATCATACGCAAATAAAACTGAGTTTCTTATCGGGTTGAACCGATTCTCTGTTACATGAATTACATTAGTCCTAATATCAAATTAGTCATATATCCACTATCATCATACTGATAATACTGGTATAATATTTACTATATACCTACATTTGTATCCCTCGTAATGTATTCATTTACACACACATACACACACATAAACACACACATACATACGTATATGCATTATATTTATGAGCACAAATATAGACATACATATATTTAACATAAAAACACACACACACACAATATATATATATATATATATATATATATATATATATATATATATATATATATATATATATATAGATATAGATATAGATATATAGATATATAATTATTATAAAAACGAAGACTTTAAGAAATCATTTTGATAATTTTATTTGTTTAGAACTGATATCGCTTCGAACTCATCAGACTGTATGTTCAGATACAAATGTATTTGTATTTGAATATGTGGTCTGATGAGTTGCAACATTTTGACAAATAAATATATATATAAAATTAAAAATATCCCTATATCTTAACGTCTTTGTTTTACAAATAATTATCATTTGCTCTGTTTTTATATTGAGTTCTCGTTAGATTTATATCGTCTTTGTAATTATCCATACGGATTACCAAATAATATCTTTATATATATATATATATATATATATATATATGCACCAATATGCTTAAATATGTCTGCAGCCTGAATTTATATCTGAAGTTTTCATTGTATAATGATTGTTCGATATGATTAATGGATACTGAGGAAGAAATTGGTATCTAAAAATATATTTTTTAAAAAAAAAATTTTTATTAAATACTGAAGAGTTATTGAAAAAGTTTCAAATATATATATATAATTATTAAAATGTATTTTTTTAAATCATCAATATTTATTTCACATAATTTCAACGTTAAATATTATATATGTATATATATATATATTTATAATGAATATATATATATATATATATATATATATATATATATATTATATTTTTTTTATGAATTTGCATTCATAATTAGGGCGTTAATGTTTTTATCAAATCAATATCATTTGAGATAAATTCGGTTTTTCTTTAATCTCGAGTTTTTCTCCTTTTTGTTGTATAAATTTTCTGATTATCATTGATTTGTCTTTTGTTTTGCTTTCATTTCTAGACAGTCGAAAGAGATAAGTAGCTTCCTAGTCATATTCTCATACTCGGAATTAAAAAATACATGAACGTAGATATGTTAAATTTTGCCCAAATGTTAATATACAGTTTTCAAAAAGTCCTACCAGAATGAATTATTGGCTGCTACAATCTTAGCAACATTTAACATGCAGATGACGCAGTTTTAATATAGACACACAAAGGAAACTACAATAATTCATACATTAGTTGAAAGAGAAAAGAAGGCACTAAATATCAATTGCAAGAAAACAGAACGTACGGTTGTCAGTAAAAGAAATAGCCCAACATGCACATTACAAATTAGAAAATGACAAGATCAAGCAAGTAAAACTTTGATTAAATACCTGACTATCAAAAGTGTTTTTAACAGAAGACTTTATTCACCGAAATCAGGATATGCATTGAATAATCCGATAAGATGTCTTCATAATGCTAAGCAAAGTTTTTTGTCAAAAAAAATTAGAAACAAACTTTGGTCTTTCAAAAAGAAAATATATATAATATCGGTCCCTCTATACCATGTCAACGGAAAAAAAAAGAAGGATTTGAAAAGAACTTGTCTGTTTTCAATCTATTTTGTTATTTTAGTTTTTTTTTCTGCACGTTATAGAGCATCCCCTGAAGATTATAATGGCGAAGAAGTTTTTGCATATAATATGATGTCCAGCAACAAGTAAAAACTCATTGATTGAGAGGTTATTCCAATGAAAGATTAATTATTCAATATCAGAAAAATACCGGTAACATTTTAATGTTCTTGTGATATGTGTTTTGTGTGTGTGTATGTCTAGCTGTATTTGTGCTTATAAATATAATGCATATATGTACATTTAAGTTAGAAATGTACATTTCGACGTTTTTAATAAAGATAGATAAGTTTTAAAATATTTTTTGTTGACGTTCGCATTTCATCTCCGAACTAAAAGAACACCTAGCGATCAATTTTCGGAAGAAGGCGGCAGAAAAGATTGCAACATATGAGTGAATCAAGACCGTCGTGCCAAGACTTACCTTCGGTGCGATTTCAATTATGCAATAAAAAATATTTTAAATTAATGGAACCCACAATGAGAAAAAGGGGCTTTGAAAATCTGCCATGATGAAAAGGCGAAGAGGGACAGAGGAAATAGCGCACAACCTACCGAACGGCCTCAAATAATTTAAATGGAGAGAGATATATAAAAAAAAGACGAAATGTATTAATAAACATGA